TCCATTTCTCTCCCTCCTGCCAGTGAGCTGATGTGGGGGAAGGGCTTGGGTCCCATGGAGCCACAGCTCTGGTACGTTACCCTGTTCTGTGTGGTCTGGTCTTTTCTCCAGGTGTATGCAGTCTGATGCCGTCCTCTTTCCTGTTGCTCTCTCAGGATTAGTTGTGCCAATTAAATTTTCTAATTGTATCCAGTTTTAGGAGGAAGCCTCTGTCTCTCCTCTCACACCGCCATCTTTAAATCCCATTGACATCACTTTTTTATCATCTAAAAATATGACTTAAAATTTAAAGATGATTTTTATTGAAAAATACCTATAATTAGGGAGAGGATTTAAAAAATACCCTGTAAATATTACTTTCAGGGTAGACAATTATAGCTTGTTGGCCAAATCCAGCTCACATACTATGTTTATAAGTAAAGTGTTAGAGGAAAATAGCCACAACCATTTGTTCACACATTATCTATGGCTACTGTAGCACTAGAATGGCAGTGTTGAGTTGTAAGAAGAGACCATGTTACCTGTCATGTCTAAAACAATGTTATTTTACAGAAAAAGTTTGCTGGTCCTTGCTTTAGATGATTATATGATTAAAGGAATTGCATTTTTTTCAAGTTAGGATATCCTCATTTTTAGAATTTTATTATAAAATTACAGTGTTATTATGAGATTTTGAAATATTTTGTAGGATATTTTAAAGCTGCAGTAACAAACCGACATGCATTTAATGCTAAGTGCTTATGCTTTAGTCTTAATTTCTGCCTCTATAACCATGCTATCTGATGGCTACCTGATGGATGACACTGTGAACCTTCTCTTTAGCTAATAAATCTCTCCACAAAATTTTCTCTTTTTTTCCAACTGAGAGAAATTCTCTCACATAAAAATTAGCACCTCCTCGACTATAATGGGGTACATGGGTGGCACTTGATAATGGGGGGTCTAGTAACCATAATGTTGTTCAAGTAATTGTACATTAATGATACCAAAATAAAAATAAAAATAAAAAGATACAAATAAAAAATTTAGTACCTCCTCTTTGGAGTCAGTTTCCTGAATGCATGTGAAGCACAGAGAAAGGACTATCTTCTAACACAGTAGCAACTTACTCCTTCAGGAAAGAGTAGTCCTCTAGGAATAAGATTCTTTATTGTCTCTCTCAGCAGCTATTTACTACCTACATGTTTGTATCTGTTGACCTGGTCTTTTTATGAGGCTGTTCTCAGTCTTCATGAGCTAATATCCTAAAAGGATCATCTTTGTTAAAATTTGTGAGTCTTCTTTATAATCTTTTTTTGTCATTTTGAGATATATTTTGACATAATAAAATTTTCTTGCTCATTGCATAATCTCAATTTGGTCAGAAGACCCAATAAAGTTCATTACTTTCACCTGCAGTGTAACGAAATATATTTTAGTCTCAAAAAGGCAGGAAATGGAAGTCTTTCTTTTGTATCCCATGCCTAGATCTTCACATATTAGGAACTCAATACACTTGCTGAGATGAATAAAGATAATTCTGGAAGATTTGAAAGGAGTTATATGTCATCTAAAATCTTTCATCCATGCATGTGCCAAAAAATAATTTTAGTAAATGTTAAATGACTTCATACATACCATTTAAATTACCATCTCATATTGGAGCAGTGAGGGCTTCTGTTAGAACAAGAAAACACAAGGTATTGAAACTCACCTGCTAATTCAGGGTACGTTACATGCAGTCATGAACATAGAGTTAATGTTTATTAGGGGTTATTTATGGTTCTTAATTATTTTATGCTTTAGAAACAAAAAGAGTCACCCCAGGATTCTTTTAACAGGAAATATACCAAGTATCCTGAAAACATGATCATATCTTAAAAATTGTATGTACACAAATGCTTTCTAGAACACATCTGCTATTTAAATTGGTGTGCAGCTGCAAAATAATTAATTATATAGTGATTTCACTAAACAGTAAAAGGTCAGAAGAGTAAAAACCTAAATATTTTACCTTCACTTGTTTACATTTTATTTTATAAGGCTAGATTTAACATCAGAAGTAGCTAAAATTGTTTAAATACAGCTAAGATTAAAAACAAATATAAATTATCATAAATTCTTGTCTTAGAATTCATTTATAGTGACATGGTTTAAGAACGAAATTATTTTGGATGTTTAACGATCTACCGATATTTGGGATAATAAGATCAGTCTAAATTGCTTATAATAAGAAATATCACTGTGGTAAGGACTCATTTTGAAATTATGGTAATTGAGATTTCTGTCTATAATTCTAAACAGAAATAAAATGTGAACTGTTTTTATATATTTACTATACATTACTATGAGTTGTCATACTGAACTTACTTCCATTTTCATAGTTGAACAGGATTATAGATGTCAACTCTTAAAAGGTTTGGAATATTAAATTCAACAAGTTTATTTTAAAAATGCACTGCCCAACCTAACTGTATTGTAGATCTAGTTTGACATTTCTTATTTAAAAAGCCAGCTCTTCTTTGTTTGCATTACCCACAACTACTCAGCTCTATCAAGTTTAAGGATTTACAATGATTCATCCAGCAGTAAATTCTGTATGGTCTAATGTTCAAAGACTGTGAAGTCATTTAAAAGATGAGTCTCATTGAAAAAATAATTCATACAGAGTCAGACTAGATTGAAATTTCACTTAATTAAGAAATTAACAGACAAAACTGATATTTTAATAATCCACATGTCAATGGATTAGTCTTCATAATGCATCTGTAAACTTAAAGCACTGCACACACACAGGCATGCACCACACACACAAATATTAAAGTTGAAGGAACAAATTAAAACTACCCCAAAATATTAAAAGTATGTTACAGATATTGCCTTTCATTCTTTCAGGTGTATATGAAATGTTGATAATAGAATAGGTATTTAAGCTGCCTAAATAGAAAAAAAAACAGTGTGGATGTACTCAGGCTGGAAATAAGGACATTAAAGACAATTCTGGTGATGTCTCAGAAGTAAATTAGAACTATGTTATTGGAAATTGGAGGAAGGCAGTCCTTGGTATAAAGCAGTAAAGAACTTGGCTGAACTATGTTCTAGTGCTTTATGTAAGGTAGAACTTGTAAGTGATGAAATTGGATATTTAGCTGAAGAGATTTCTAAGCAAAGTGTTGAAGGAGTATCTTGGTTCCATCAAATGAGAAAGGGCAGAGATAAATAGAAGATAAAACTTTTAAGCAAAACTAAACTGGTACTTGAGGACTTAGAAAATTCTTAAACTATTCACATTGCAAAAAAAAATGAGAAAGCTTATTTTAAGGGCGTGGCTGAACAACCATTTGATAAAGAGTTCATAGGATTTTATGAGCAAAAACACTGCCAATTTGACCTGAAGGGGACAGAGATGGTATGAAATAAAGGAAGGCTTTTGGACTTCTTAGATTTGACAGGATTGGGCAATAGAGCTAGTAAGCACTATTATTCAAGAGTGGGAAAATGACTCTGAAAGAGATTCACAGATCATCAGGATCATAGCCTCATTGCAAGTGTTGGACAGGCTCCATCAAAGATTCCAGCCACCATAGGCGTGACCTTGCCATGCCAGGGGGCCTGGAAGGTGGAACATTGAGCCATTGAGGTTTCTTATCAAGGCTTAAGATAGATGGAATTTTTGTTTGCTAGGTTTTAAGCTTGATTGGGCCCTTGCACCAATTCCGTCATCCTGATTTCTCCCTTTTTGAATGGAAATGTTTATCTTATGCCTGTTCCACCATTGTATTTTGGAAGCACATAACTCATTTGGTTTCACAGGCTCACAACAGGAAAGGAATTTTGCCTCAGGATGAACAATAAATTTAGTCTTATCCATATCTACTTGAGATAATATTTAGATGAAACTTTGGACTTTAGACTTTAGATATGGTATTGAAATTAATTAAAATTCTTGTGGCTGTTGGGATGGAATAATGTATTTTTCATGTGAGAAGAACATTAATTTTGGGAGGACAGGGGTGAAACACTTTGGACTAAACTGTGTCGCATAATATGTTGAAACCCTAACCCCCAATGTGATGGTATTTGGAGATGATGTCTTTGGGAAATAATTCAGTTAGATGAGGTCATCATGATGCAATTAGTGTCCTTATAGAGACACCAGTGAGCTTGTTCTTTCTTTCCCATCCACGTGAGCCATTTGCAAGACAGGGAGAGAGCCCTCACCTGAACCCAACATCCATGCACCCTGATCTCAGACTTCTATCCTGTGGAACTGTAAGAAAATTGATTTCTGTTGTTGTTTTTTAAAAAGATATAATGGAAAACATTACTGATAACTATAATATTTATTTTATAATGTTTATTCAGTAATTTAATTAAGGTGAGAATAATTTATGTAATTCATTAAATGTTTAGGATGCTAGTGCATAGATAGAAAAGACAAAGAGTATCCATGTTCAAAGAAAGATATTGAAGCATTTTAGAGCTAATGAAAATATTGAGGCAAGCTAGTAGGTCAACAAAGTCTTTGCATATCATGAAACATACACAGAAATATAAACTCAATCCTTATAAATCCAAACCTAATAAATTTTCAAAACTAGGGCTTTTTTGTGATAGTGACAGCCATCTTCTGTGCAGCCAGGAAATAACTCAAATTGAGGCATTATATAGTTTATTTCATGAGACAATTTTTTTACAGGTTTTAGTCAGCCTCATCATAGACTCAGTACATAATCAAGTTTTCTGCTAAGTAGTGTAAGGAAAATATCTCTGAGGCACAGATTTTCTTTGAACAGTGTAAATACAGAGAGGGGCATATAGAAAGTTCCTTAATAACCCTGTTCTCATGTTTTTTCTCTATTTCTTCACCCTGAGCATGGTTATTGTCAAAATTAACATGACTGAGTAATTCTTACTCTCACATTCCTGTTATGTATGACATAGAGGGAAAATATTCAAAGACAACCATAAAAAGTAATTCTTAACCATTTTAAGGATATGATGAAAAAACACAAGCGCACTTAAACAAAAAATTTCTATGCCATTTTAGAGAATTCATAGAGCACTTTAGCATTTTTATTATCCCAGTGACTCAGGCTAGAAGTTTTGTTTATACTTTTAATATTTTTCAGAGATAGAAGTTAATCAGTATGAAGGATGGAGGAAGTACTGCCATAGGATTTAAGCAAAGGGTTTAACCAAAATATATTTAGTTTCAATTAAGGCATGTTAAATTTAAAGACATAGAATTTAGGATGGTGAATAAGGAGTGAAAAATTCAAGGGACATGTTTAAGTGTGAATTTAACAAGGGAAAAAGTAAAAATGTTTAAGAAGAAATTGTGCAGAATCAATGTAAAGATGGAAGAGAAAAAAAGAGTGCAGGAAGACAGAAAACATAATTTAGTGTTGTAAGAGGGCAAATGTAGATGATCAGGTCTGTGCCTATAGACTAAGTATTAATCCAAGCTAGACAAGGGCAACAAAACATCCACGGATTCAGAAGATTTCTCTCAAAACAGGGGGGATGAGGTTCTAAGCCTCACCTCTGTTGGTCCCCATTTTCTCACCTGATGGCGCCCCTGCGACTGTGCCTGTCTTAGGTTGTTCCTCCCTTGAGGAATCTTACCCGTCTCTGGCTAACCAGTCATCTTCTGGGGCCATACAGGGAAATGTAAAGTTGGTAAGTGAGAGAGAAGCAATATTCTTTAAAAAGGTTGGCTTTTTACTTCTTTGCAGATTTATCCCCTGTGGCTTCTATGCCCAGCATTTATCTTGAGGTATCTTTACCACTTGGAAGAATTATGTTACTCAGTAATTTTCTATATGAGGCATGAATTCTACTAATGGGTTGTAATTAGGAAGGAAGAAGAAAAGTCCCTTTGCGAGGCGCTGGGTTCTCGCAGGTGTGGATGTGGTCTGGCTGTTGTCCTGTGTCTTCTGGTCTCTCTTTTAGGAAGACTTGTCTTTGTTGTATTTTCAAAAATATATGTGGTTTTGGGAGGAGATTTCCACTGCTGTACTCATGCCGCCATCTTGGCTCTGCCTCCTAGCATCTCTTTTTATATGAATATTAATCCTATCAGATTAGGACACAACCCTTATGACCTCATTTAATCTTAATTGTCCTAAATGTTCTGTCTTCAAATATAGTCACAGTAAGTGTTAGAGTTTCAGCATAAGAATTTGGATGGGAAAACAATTCAGTACATAGCAGAAGCAATTAGTATATACACATATACTTAGTTTCTAATATTATTATCAAGCACAATGATTCAGGAATCCTTGGAGAAATGTATAATTCTATGGCAGGTCCAATGTAAACCTGGAGTATATTTCAGTGCTCAAACATATACACACATAAAATGAGAAAAGTTTGTCAGAGGGACACAGGATCCAACTGAAAGAGTTCCAAGTGGTCAAACTGAAAAAACTTGGAGCAAGAAAGTATATAGTATTACATTATAACCCAAAGTATTAACTAAATATCCATGAGCCCATACTGATAAACAAATTATTGAATATATAAATAAGTAGGGGAAAACAGAAAAATCTCTAGTGCAGAAAAATTCCAATTAATTTCTATAGCTAATTTCACCTTGGGGAGGTAGAGATAATTCCCCATGCATTAAGGGAGGACTAAAAATAGTGACTTTCTTCCAAAAAGTGCAGTATGGCAA